TGATTCAAATGATCAGGATCGTTATCAGGCTTCTGCAGAGCTTGATGATGAGCTGATCATTTGAATCAGGAATGCGCCTGTTATTTCTGCAGTTACTGGCTTTAAGCTGTTAGCTAACGCTATGCTAGGTTGGCATAACTACAGTGATGATATTGCTAACATAAACAGACAGGGAGTAACTTAAGCTAGGTTAGCACAGCTTTAGCAACGTAAATGAAAAGCATGACTGACGCCACGAAGCATGTCAGTCGTCATGACACATGGCAAAGAGTTAAAGTGAAACAGGAGACATGTTGAGTCATTGTTAATGAACTTATCAGTCAGCAAGCTCATCACTTATGAGTCAGAGCTCCATCTAGTGGACAAACGGCACAAGGACAGCATTCTGCACAACTGTGACACTTAACAGCATTTACTGTTTTATGAGAAATTAAGAATATATCAGCGTTTAATCGGCAAAACTCCAGCCAATGATGATTATTTTGAAAAGGGCTATAACCGGCCTATTTAATCGGCCAGCTGCTAAATCAGTCAGGCCCTAATAAATAGTTTATTTCAACTTTTTTTCCTTTTTCTTTGCAGATGTACTTCTCGACAAAATCACCCCAATCATTGCAGAATAACACATTCTTCCTAAAAAGTGGTATTCTAAGTCTTGTGGTAAAAATTCCTGTACATTTTCATTTCACAAGATGGATAGATGAAAAACAAACTATGACAATGCTCGTAGTTTTTCCTGTACATTGCACCCCGACTGAATACTTTAAATACTAACATGTGCGCCTTTGTTTGTGTGTTTACTGGCCCGGTTCCTTTACAACAAAACAATTCAAAAAAGAACGCTGCACACAGAACATGTGGAGATGAGCCATATTAAACATGGCTGCATTCCACATGTCAGTCCAGGATATTGTTTAAGAAAACACTGTTTGCTGGTATGGAAATGATAAAAAAAATAGTTGAAATAATTTTTTTTTTTCAGAGTTAAAAGAGTCAAAGGCATTACAAAACACAAATATGACAGTAAAATACAAGGAAGCACAGCGCAGGTGTAACTGACTACCTGGTCAGGATGTTGCTGCTCAACCCAACAAACAAAAGGTCATTTTGTGTAAAGTTTAAAAAAAAATAACACCGACTTGGTGTTATTTCAGTCCGTTATATTGTAAATACTTTCTATAAAACAGTTTCGTCTCATGCTGTGGCCGCGGACCAGAGGTTGGCAAACCTCAGTGTCAGTTGGTTCAAATGTGCGACACGGACGACATGACAGCGGCTCAGTGCACAGGAGGATTATTAACCGATAGCTGCTACCGACAGCGGTCAGTTGCTGCTTCGTGAGCGCCACGCTGCCGTGAAGCGGGCGGACGGTGACGGAGCTGCTGTGTGCGGTGAAGCTTCACTTACAGACGTCCTGAGCAGGTTTCCAACGGTGGCCGCCATCTTGGATTATGTCAGTGGAGGAGGCGTGAGCGGGCCGCTCCGTCATTTATACACGTGCTCGACGCAAACTCTTAGAAAAAATAAAAGTAATGATAAATAAATAAAAATAACGTTTTTGATATTCTACTAGACTGATTTTTGAAACATTTTAACCAAATCACAAATAAATAAATAAATAAAATAACAGTGACAATTAAGGGGTCATGATGCCTTCAGGTGCTCCTCACAAATGACAAAAGTGTAATAAATGACCCTTGACGCCTCACTTGACGATAGTAGTTAGACCACAAAATCTTAGCTTGAAGTCCACTCACTGTAAATGTATGAGAACAATGTGCCATTTAGTACAAATTATTTTTTATTTTTGTAAATAAATCAGGCTTTTAGGTGTCCGTGTCAATTTAATCCATTTTTTTTCTTAAAGTTGTTTATATTAATATTAGCTTTTACTTATTTTTAATCGGCTTAATGAAACATCAAATATATTGTCTTATTTCATTGTGTACATTGGTTTCTGAGTCTAGTTTTTGCTATCCCGTGTTGTGCCAAGAGCTGAAGAAATTATGGCTGAACAATTACTCAATTTTGTAATCAATATCCCAATCTGAAATCGTTTTATTTGTAAATGCTAAGTTCAGTTTAGGATATACATTATGAGTTGTGTCAGACCCAGAGGTTGTTTGTTTGTTTGTTTATTTGTACATTTAATAGTATTATTGTTGTTGTTATTTCATTTATTTAACTTAATTACAGAATGTGTAATACTGAGATGTGGCTCCTGAGCCGTGAATGACCACCTGTACCTATTTGTTGTTGTTGTTGTTGTTATGAACATTTACACCATTTATAAAAGTGATTTCTTTATTTATTCAACTTAACTTAGTCTTAGCATTTGTGATAATTGTTCTTTTTAAAAAAGTTTTTAAAATGTCAAAGGAACAATTCATATCTTTAACTTCTCATCTTTGCATTAGAATATTGAGCATTAACATGCTGATGGTATCTCATGTGGTCATAATCCATTTTTATTTATTATACAATAAATTTTAAACAGGCTGTAAAGAATGTATTTTGCAACGTTTGTCAGAAATTACATATTTTCCCCAAAAGTTGTTCATTTGATTGTCTTTAAAAAAAAATAACTAGAAGCTACTGCATGCGACATGTTGTTTTGTTAACGTCCCCTGTCCGTCAGTTTGCGCATTCAGCTTCCGCTCTCTGCTCAACAAACGCGGACATAGCGGAAAATGCAACCTCAGAATTTTTCCGATGTCCCTGAAAGCACCATACTCCTGCCCGCACTGAGCACGTGATTGAAGGCGGAAGGAGTTTCTGAATGACCTCAAAAGCATGCGAAAACCATGTTTATAGGATTTGTACTGTAGAAGTGTCGTTGTAAGTGATTTAATGTATGAAAAGTAAATGTTGTGGTTGTTCTAATGGATCCTAATCTGCTGCACTGGAGGGAGCAGGGACAGGTGCGTTTACACAGCAGACTTTTTAAACATGCACTGATGGTGGTTACAGTGAAAATACCTTTTGATTTTTCATAAGTGGTGAATTGTACCCTTCCTTCTTTACAGTCTTTCCTCCGTCGACTACAGACGTGGATTCATCTGCTGGATCCAAGCCTCCTCCTCTCCTCTGATGTAAGTAGCAGCCACTGCAGAGACACTGTGACATCAGTATAATATACTTGATGCTTATCTGGTGATTTTACTGTCCGCAGCCTGAAATACAGAAAGCCCACGCTCTTATTGGAAGTTCAGACCCACAAGACAAAAAGGTCAGCTTGTATTTGCTATGCAGTGATCCATCAGTTATGAATCTGCTGCAGATTGTTTTATGCGTCTCTGTTCTGTTTCCTCCTGCAGGATGAAGCGGCGCTGACCCTCTCACTTGTAAGTTTGGCGAGAAGCTAAATGGGATTCGTCTCTAAATAAGTTCAAACTCAGTCATATTTATTGTGTAGACATGAATGATTTATCAAGACATAATATCACCACTGTGACGTTTTCGTACTTGCTCAACCTACTTAGTCAAGACTCCTCATCTAACAGTGTGTGTAAATGAGTGCAGCCCTGTCGAATACCACTCAGAAGTCAAATGATTCATAACTGTATCATCTCCTAGTTACATTTTTTTTCTACATTAACAATCAAAAACATACTTTCAGAGGTGGGAAGTAACNGATGCTATATTTTGGGGGGCACCCAAGTACTGCGTTATTCATAGATGTAGCCTAAAGCAGTTTCTCGAGAAGTGAGATTGTATGACTAATATAGACATAACATAATTAAATACAAGTAACAAAATAAACATGATCCGGAAAAGGTTTCTGGTCAAAGCACACTTGTACAATGAAATGTACAATAATTGCTACTTTTAAAAGCAAAGAGTCAGAACGGACACCACGAAACTGTCAGGGTTCCCTCACATGGCTTCTTCTTAAAATAACTAACAATGCTGGCTTCTTTTTGACACCCCTGGCTGCTGCTGTAACAGAGACAAAATGCCACTGTTCAGTTGTAACTCAAACTTGGGATTGGGAATGCCCTGGCTGCTCCCAAAACATCTGTGTAAAGTGTCTTCATTTAACGTTAGCAAATTTTCCTCGTTTCAAAAAGAAAAAAAAAAACAAACCTCATCGTAGCAAGTTTTCATGTCACAGCCATTAATGCAGGAACCCCTTGACGGTTATTTACCATCTAGTTGGCACGTTTCATAAGCTTAGCTACCAAATAACATCAACTTTTTTGTCAGTAAAATGTTAAATGATGAACTAAAGATAATGGGTAAATCTACAAGTTAACATAAAACATATCAGTAACTCATTTGTCAAGTTCAAAGTTGCAGTAAATTGAACGTACTCACCGTGTCCGAGCGTCCGTAAGTGCAGAGTGGAAATTAGCGAAGAGGTGTGCTTCTTTCATACACCAGCCGCTCCTATCACAAGCACTACCACAATCCCGTTTCCCCCTCACCCCACCCCCATAAAGCTGTACCAACCAGCTAGCGCTTCCGAGGGAAAACAATTTACCCAATGACAAGACATTTTTCTTCCCCAGTGGCAATGGATCATGTCACCCTATTTGACAGAAATCTCTCTTTTGTCTGTTATTTCTGACCATTTCTTTCACAAAAATGTCTAATACACTTGATAAAATTACATTACAATTAACAAAACTGCTTAAGAATAACTTTTTAAATCAAGTA